CAATTTATATATATGATCTAAATAAATAAAATACTAAATTTATCCATTAAATTTTTAAAAATATTTATTCAAATGTGGTATTTTTAAATTTAAGACTAATTTTTTTAAAATTTTATTATTTTTAAATATACTAAAATAAAATAATAGAGATAAAAATAAAATATCAACATTAACTAATATCTCACGTAAATACAAAATAAAACAACTACTAACTTAGAACGGAACTCGAGGAATACTTTGGGTAATTTTTTATTTTTATTTTTATTTTGACAAAATGGCATTGGAAGAAAGAAGAGTTGAAAAATAAGGAAATCAACTTTTGCTTCGTTGGCGTAGATTTGGAAGGAATGGATGCATAGCTACTACCAGACAGAGAGAAACGAAACCTCAAATCTTGATCGTCGTCGTCCTCGTTATGGCTTCTGCATCGGAGATTGCACTAAAATTGAATCTGAGTCCCCACCCGGAAGGCGGATTCTACGCCGAAACTTTTAGGGACACTTCCGTATTCCTCTCCAAATCCCAGCTTCCTCCTGAATGTAAGTTTTTGCTCAATATCTTCTCTCTGTGGTTCTCTATAGAGATTGTTGTTTGTTTTCTCCTTGCAATCTCTGGATTGGATCTGGGTCTGTTTCATTTTCCATGATGGTATTTGAAAACCGATGCATCAGAAGTAAAAGTCAAAGGAATGGATTTGGTTTCTGTTTTCTCCTGTGATTCTTATTGTTTTGGTTTGGTTGGATTTGGTTTCTTTTTCATTTTTTTTTGTACATAATTATGGAAGAGGGAATAGCCTCCTTTTTCTAAATTTTTTTTCCACCAACTAAATGTCAAAATCTTTAACTTAAAATCTCAAACTCTTAACCATTAAATTATCTTTGCATTGGTTTGGTTGGATTTGGTAGTATGGAATTAAGTTTGTTTGGCCTAGTTGTAATTTTGTAGAAGTGGGTTTTTGCTAAAGTGTTAAAATTATGGATTCATATAAAGGAACCATACAAAATTTTTAAAAATTGGTAAAAATTATCAAATTCGGAAACTAGAATACAAAATTATAGGTTTGTATTTGAGGGTCTGACTCAACTTCAATTTTTGTAAAAAATAAAAATAAAAAATAAAAAATCTTTTAACACTAAAACTCAAAACTTGAAAATTGAAATGAGGTCGCTATCAAAACAGCACGTTTTACAATCATTAAATTCAAGGGAAAAAAATGCTTAAAAAACGTATGCCCATTATGTGAAAGAATAGAATCTTCCACATTAGTGGCAGAATCAAAGATTTAGACTTTAGGGATGGTTTCTTTTGGCTAGTAATTTTAGGGATGATATTGATAGGTTGTAGTTTTAAATCTCATCTATTTCTGAAATCTTAAATTCAGTTGAGGGGTTGATCGAAAGAGATAAAAAGAAAAGGGGTTTAAACTTGCAATCTGCAGCTTTTAGTTTTGAAATTTGATACTGTTTTCTTGCCAATTTCTCTTGTTCATTACTATTGTTGTGCATTTTAGTTATTTAATTTATTGTATGTCCAATAATGTGATTGTTGGTGTCATGCAGACAAGGTTGATCGTGCCGTTAGCACATGTATTTACTTCTTATTACCATCTGGTAGTGTCTCTCGTCTCCATCGTATACCATGTTCAGAAACGTGGCATTTCTACATGGGAGAACCTATTACGGTAAATTTTAAATTAAACAACTTTGCCAACAAATGCATGAAGAGTATGGTTTTACATGCTTTGCTGATTTACCCTCAACGTTGAAGCCAGGAACTTGCATTACAAAAAAGAATCGTTTTTGTTTTGCCTGCAAATATATAGAGGGATATGGTTCACATGCTTTGCTGGTTTGCCCTCAAGGTTTAAGCCAGGAAATTTCATAACAAGAACCCTTTGAAATGTTCATATTTTTTGTGTACTGTATCCTTTTTGAAATGTTCATTTTTTCAGACTCATTACTTCATGTTGTTGTTGTAGATATTTTCTGTTTCTAAGTGTTATATATTTTCATACAGGTAATGGAATTGAATGAGAAAGATGGGCAGATGAAGCTAACATGTCTTGGACATGATCTAGGACAGAATCAACTGCCCCAGTATACAGTGCCTCCCAATGTGTGGTTTGGCGCATTTCCAACGAAGGATATTCACATTTCATCCAACGGGGCAGTGCTAAAATATGAACCGAGGGATTCTGAAACCAACTTCTCCCTTGTAGGTTGCACTTGTGCTCCAGCCTTTCAGTTTGAGGACTTTGAGCTAGCAAAACGCTCTGACCTTGTCTCGCAATTCCCCAATCATGAGTCTCTTATCACGTTACTCACCTTTCCTGATTGAGACGAAGCTCAGCAGCGTGGAGCCTTTGCAAATCTTGCAGGCTTGTAATACTGGTTACTAGTTGTACCATCTTTATGCTTCTTGAACTTTAGGATCATGCTTTCTTTCTGGAATCTGATTTTCAAACTTATTGGCAATTTGACTGGCCAAATTCCTGATGAACTTCTGCAGAAACTACTTAAATAAATGGATCTGTCTGCCAATGCATCTTGATTGCATGGAAAGACTTATACATCAACAAGGATATTTTGGTCAATATGATTCTAAATAGGTAAAGGCTCCCCTGCCGAATATTTGTGCACTAGAAAATGCAAAGCACCATGACTAACAAGCGTTTAAATAGGTATAACAGCTTCACAAGAGGGGCTTCCAAGTTATCATTGATATTGCAGATAAACAACTAAATGCTAAGAGATAAATTAGAAGTTGATCCAAGATAATAAAGCTCAGGGAATGAGCGTGTAGAGATTGGGTAACATAGACAACCAGATTATGCATAAATGGGTGTGCCATTACAAAATTTGGCACCAAAGCAACAAACGGGAAGCAAAAGCCCCAAGAATAAGTAGAGAGAAACTAAACAGATGGATGATTCAAATATTTTTGGTAAAAATAGAAAATTTCAAAAATTTATCCTAAGATGAAGAACCCAACATTCTAAGTATTGCACATACTGCACACGCTACAGAGGAATAAAGAGATTGTCACTGTTGCCTCTAGAGAGACCCAAGGAAACAACTTCCCCTCCGCAGACTTTAGAAAATTAGGCCTTCATGACAGTTACTACTTTTTTCCATCTTCTTAAGTCCCGCTTACAGCAATGGACACAGGGCAAGAATCTTTCAATCCCATCTCGCTTGTTTTCATTTTTTTGGATCACCATCACATTAACAATTGCAAATATGGCATAAAACCAGTACAAAATGGAGGCATCTCTTAGTCAAAATCTAAGAACTCCATTCTTTTTCTCATGGTGCCTTTCAGATCTGATGCCTCCCTCTCTGCTTTTTGAGCCTGAAGCAAGGAGAAAGAGATGGGTTTTTAAGAGGAAAGACATAAGTTACTAAGATGACAAAAACACAGCTAACAAGGAGAGGTACCAATGATCCTCAATTTATGCTAGTGGGTACATGTACCTACCTTTTCCCTTATAACCTTGCAATTAATTGCATATAATAGAAAAGCAGTTTGCATTGTTTTGAAACCAAAAGAAAGGGCAGACATGTGCAAGCCATGACACTAAGCAAAAATCTGCCAATTTCTTTCATCATACTTTCTATCGTGGGGAGCTTGAAGAATGGCCAGGTTGTTCCACATTAGAAGACCATTAAAATTTTAGAAGAAATGTCACAATAACTTACTCAAACTGCAGAGCCAAACAAACCATTATACTCCAGATTCATCCTTTAATTAGAAGACAGCATTTTACATGTGTGTTAAACAATGCCCTGAAAAGATTATAAATTAGACTCTTGCATCAAACAAGTCGTTCCTTTTTTAGTAAGTCCAATTATATAATTTAGAATTTCTAAATCATAACAGTGAGCTGATATTCCTCCAGAAAACTTGGAACACTAGCTTATGACATTAACAAGCTCCCTGAGAACACCAACTGTGATAGAATATACAATGGCAACCACCCATCTATCCATCTCACATTAGCATTCAAAATTAGAATTGTTTCAGTAGCTTTCAAACACAATCCTATATGATCTAATATTCATTTAAGTAATAACCAGCAAAAAAGACAAGCCACTTACGCTCTTTATCTCAGCTTCTGACACACGAGTCATATGAGGGGGAAGCTCTTCCTTTTCTAAGTCCTGCAAATCAACACCAGTTATTAAGAATGACAATCATTAACACAAGAGCACAGGCCAAAATTACGGCATAGAAAAGATAAAATAGCATTACCAGCTCCCCAATTAAGACAACATTCTCTCCACGAATTACATATAGACCTAAGGGGATATCACAATAAAGATCTCCCACAATGACTCGCTCACAAGCTCCTTCTAGAACAACATTAGCTGCAAATAGGGAAGAGAATTCCCATCACTAATTATAAACCAAGAAGAGAATAAGATAATAACACAGACAAGAACTTAGCAAAGAGTAAGATGTGGATACCAACCAAATTGATCAAACGAACGTAACAACCCCAAAAGCTTTCGACCATCTCTCAGCAACACAAGGAGTTTTTCTGCATAATAGAGAAAATCCAAAACACAAACCATCAACTTAATAATTTCCTGAACTAATCAATCTCAAGATCCAAACACTCCAAACAAAATTCAATAGACCAAACTAAATCATCCCGAGTCAACAAAAAAGAAAAAAAAAAAAAAGAAAGAAAGAAATCTTGCAAAGAAGGATAACTATTTCCACTAGATTGATTGATTATCTAAAGGAACAAACTTTCCGGAGGGAAAGAAGTAAAAACAACATGTGAACAAGAACCCACAAACCAAACAGCATCGTTGCCAAAAGTTTCGCATCCGAACAATATTCAATAACCGAATTACATTCGCTTTCTCAAGAAACAGGCATTAAAAACACAAGCATACATAAGTAGATATAGAGGGAGGATGAAGATTACTATCAAGATAGGTAGCAAGCGAAGTGGAGAGGAAGATATCATCAGGACCAGCCCACGACATGGAAATCAATATTTGGGGATGCTTCTACTCCAACCCCCCAAACCAATGGCATTTGCTTCCCAAACAAGCCTCTAAAACCAAACCCAGAATTCAAAAAACCCCAAATCTCACAAAATCTCACTCACCACAGAATTCCCACCAGATCCCCCTGTTAAAAAACCCTAGCTTTTTCCCCAACCCAACAAAAGCCCTGTATGGAGAGAGGAGTTAGGTTTAAAGCTCTCGACGATATCCTTACTGGAAAGAGAAAGTGCCGTAAATACATCAATCAAACTTTCCTTAGTAATCCCAACTACTGAAGATTTTTAACTGGGTCGGAGTGAAAAATTGAAAACTGAAAGCTTAAAAAGTTAAAGCTCAAACTTTGACCTCAAAGATGCGAACTTTTTTTTCTTTTTTAAATATTTCCGGGTAATTGGGAGAATTCAGAATGAATTGTGGGGTTCTTCGCTAATTATATGTGGACCGGTGGTTTTGGTCGTGAAGGATTAACCGATTAAGGTTTGGATTAGATTAATTAATTAATTATTTATTTATTGTTTAGACATTTTCACGAGCTTTCACATTATTAAAAGTTTGAATTATTTCAATACTTAAAATTTCTAAAGAAATGTACTTAGTAAAAATAGTTTGGTATTTAAGTTAATAATAATCATTTATTTTTAAAAAAATAACTCTCATAAATTGGATATTATAAAAAGAGAAATATAATAAAATTATTATTTTTAATAAAAATAAAAAAAATATTTATAACCTTTATTTATGATATTATTACTATATATTATTGTTCAATTGACTCACATATTACTTATTATATAAGTTTCCATTACCCACCTTTATTTTTGATTTCTTACTGAATCTTTAGTCAATGTTGGCCAACTCCCCAACAATCATGATTATAATAACGTTATTGAGGTGTGAATGTAACTCTATGAGGCTGTGAATGGTGAATTGGAAGGTTGGTTTCCCACGATTGGAGTTGGATATTGGAAGTGGATGCATCATGCACCATTACTAAAGAAATAGCATTTTTTGCTCTTTTTTTTTAATTTATTATGATGCATATTAAATTTTTAAATTTTTAATCATTTAAAATACACTTCAAAATTTGAAGTTTGAAGAGTTTAACAATTCTTTTAATAATAAGTGAAGAAAACTAAATTCAATGACTAATTAAGTTTTATAAAAAAATAAAAATAATTTATTCATAATTTCTGTTGACAATAAACTTTCATAATATATTAATATATAAATAATTTTTATTAATTATTTTTATACAATGTGATGCATGAATTGTTATATATTTTTTTTATTAATTTTATGTAATATTGTAGGAATTTGTTATAAATAAAAGTTGTTAATAAATCAATTTTTAATTTTTAAAAAAAAACTATTTCTTTAGTTGTGAAATAAAAAATAAAAAAACTATACAAATACAAGCAAAATGTAAACCATAAATAGATAAGTGGAAACTAATTGCATTTTACTAAAACAAAAGCTAAGTTTTTTTTTTTTTTTATCGCACAATAAGAGATAATCATCTCTGATCTTTTATCTTATCCCATTCGTATGTCATGCAACTCAAATTCAAAATTTTTCACTTTCAGTGAAAAAAGATAATCATCAAACTATTTAGATAATTGACCATCTAAATTTAAGTTAGTCAATTCTTTATTAACTTAAGATAAAAGCTCGTGACTTAAACAGTAATATAAGTCCGTTATCTGCTCACGTTGCTGAGAGTTACTTTATAGACTCTGATTAACAGTGAAGAGTAGTTTTCCTCCTCATCCAATAAAAAAAAAATGTGCTTTCCTAGTTCAAGCTGATAAAATCGAATGTCCAGTTTGTGGAAGAAGTAACCACGAAATCTATAACACCCTGGAAAATGAAACAGGTGCTCGCGTCCATGTGTACTCTCCTCATCTCCCCACCTAAGAGTTCCATGCAACGTGGCAGCATTGCACCAACTAAAGACATCATCAAATATAAATCTGTTCCTCCTCTGGAGCTCCTGAAAATTTTCAGTTTGCCATTTCAACAAGATGAAATTTCTGCTGCATCACAGGGAAAAAATCTATCTTTTCATTTTGTGGGGTTACAGAGTAATCATACAATTTCAGGTTTAATCAACATAAATTAATCTACTGGATCAGGTTTCTTAGTTGGGTTCAGGATCTCGAAGAATGCTGGAGGAATGACACCCAGAAACGGTCCAGATTTTGGTGGAACGTATAAAGATCTTCACTCACCGGCTGTTTTAGTTGGGGGGTGGTTCACAGTCATAGCTTTGACCCTCTCCGTTTATCTCATTCTACAGCATCTCAGATCATACACAAATCCTGCTGTTAGTTCCTTACCCACGTAGGAATTCTGACTATTTTGTTCAACGAAGCATTACTTACATGAAATTGTTGTTTTCTGGGCAATTTTGGTTGTTATTTTGTAGTACGTGATCAAAGTAATGGAGATATTAACGTGGAATGGGGAGAGATTATGTGGGATTTTTTTAATGATGATGGAACGATTGCTGATTGTTTGAGTTTATTCCTAACAGGAGCAGAAATGGATTGTTGGGGTTTTGCTCATGGTTCCTGTGTATGCTTGTCAGTCAGTAAGGTTCTATCTTTCTGAAAAAACAGATTTTTGCCATTTTGCCTTATTTTGATTTCAACATGCTAAGTAGAAAATGGCTAATTGATCCCAGAGTGCTTCTCAAATGCAAACCATTTCTTGCTTCTATTTAAAAGTATTTTTAAATAGTGAAATTTGCTGGTTTCTGATTTCTACAGATTATATCATTGTGGAACGCGAGGTTTTCTCTTGCATGTGACATTCTGAAAAATTTTTATGAAGCCTTTGCCCTGTACTCTTTTGGGAGCTATTTGGTTGCTTGTCTTGGTAAGGTCATTCATGTTCGAAAAAAAAAAAAAAAACTCAAACAAGGTCTTGAGTTATTAGCTGACATATTCCATCAATGTTTGGATGAACTTTCATTTATGCTAGGTGGAGAAAGAAGAGTTGAGGAACTTCTTGAAAATGAACCAAGAAACCAAGTCAACGAGCCTTTGTTAGAAGGATCAGATAAAGACCAACAACTAAAGCGAAAATCATTGAGTAACTTTTTCTTACGCCCATGGCTTCTTGGCAAAGACTTGCTCACAATAGAAAATTTTGGTCTTGTTCAATACGTAAGACATAACAATCTTATTCCATTAATTTGATTATGGTTTCATTATTGAATTCTGATGACTTCCGGTTTTTATAGATGATTCTGAAGACATTATGTGCTTTCTTAGCATTCGTGTTAGAGCTGTGTGGGGCATATGGGGATGGAGAATTTAAGTGGTACTATGGGTATGTATCCATTTCTAAGCACAATCCTACAAATGCTTTATATATAGTATAATGATATGTTTGCATTGTGCTTGATGAGTGCTCATATGTCCATAAACATGCTAGTTTTCTAGAATTGAGGCATTTTCATCACAAAGAATAGATACATTTGTTGTTATTTTCATATTCAACCACAAGTATAATGTATGATATTTGGAAGAAAAATCCCAATTGTTTATGCAGTTGAATTGAAGTTCATATTCCAATTTCAAACACAGAGATTGATTTTCTTCTGCCCAATATTCCACTCCCTTGCACCTCCATGCAGGTATCCTTACATCACAATAGTACTGAACTTTAGCCAGATGTGGGCATTATATTGCCTAGTTTAGTTCTATGATGTGACACATGAAAGACTTCGGCCTATCAAGCCACTGGCAAAATTCATCAGCTTCAAGGCTATTGTCTTTGCTACATGGTGGCAGGGAGTCGGTATTGCTCTGCTATGTGCATTTGGTGTACTACCAAAGCAAGAGAAACTACAGACCGGATTGCAGGATTTCTTAATTTGTATTGAAGTGAGTTGCTTGATTGGAAATCTTCCCCTTTTTGAACATTTCTCTGTCTCTTGCATATGATGTCAAATTGTTCAAATAACCCTGAAAGTCCAATTTTTTTTCTGTCAATTGTTGGAGTCATTTTTTATGCCACAATCACTTCATGATGTGTTCTTTTTGGTGATTTGTCAAGAAAAAGATTATTAAGGATCTCTGAATTGTCAAAAATTGTCTGCTTGCAAAATGCTGAAACGCCTTTTTTTCAGCACAATGGTTATAGTGACTTTTTGAGAATGGTTTCACAGATGGCCGTTGCAGCTGTTGCTCACATGTTTGTCTTCTCTGGCGACCCTTTTCATTATACCTCAGCTTCTGAGCATGGGAAGATCACTACTGAAACAACCAAAGCAGCAATAAAGGTTGAGGAGGGTGATGAGGAGAAACCGGCTCTGCTTGAGAAAACAGAAACTCAGGTGGAGGCTCCTGGAACCAGCATCACCGAGAGTGTTCAAGACATAGTGCTAGAAGGTGGTCAACATGTAAGTAAGCTTTACAATGATAAGCACTCTGCAATATAAGCTCTTTGACATTCTAAGCTTTTATGAATTCAAGCATTCATCAGAACTTCTTTGTATAAGCAGGTGATTGAGGATGTTAAGTTGACAATAAACCAAGCAATTGGACCCGTGGAGAAGGGCGAGACAAAAATCCAAGAAAAAATCCACCACAGAATGGATTCCGACAAAAATAAAAAGGAGTCAGAGTTGGAAGTTGAACAGCAAGTTGCATCAAGTGGAGATCAAGCTGAACTCCGATTAGACATTGGTGCTTAAGATTGTTTATGGAAAAGAACTTTGGAGCAGTCCAATCCTTAGTTTATCATGTTTCACATTTCATGGGTGTTTTTTTCCTGTGTTCATGCATGGGTTACAGCCAATTGTTTGCCCCCTTGCCAAGCAAATATTCCAGATGCTACTCATAATATTTTCAGGATAAATTATGGCACATCTCTATCAACTTAGATTTTGTTTAGTATGGTTGTGGTTTTCGAATTTTTTGCTTAATTCTGCAATTTTAAACAAAATTTTAGTTTATTTTTATGTGTTTTTGAAACATATTATCATGATTATTAAAGAAATAATAATAAAAACTAGTTTATATTTTTTTTTTCTGCAACCACAGGAATCAAAACTAAAAATAAAAACCACAACATTCTAAACAGAGTCTTAACAATTACTTGTACATTCAATGCGGTGCAGAAACAGGAATTTGTGCTCCATAATACTGGGTGCATGCGATGTCCAGGATGACACAAGTTTCTTTTAGACAGTATCAACAGCAATCTACAACGTTACAACAGCCAGTTGAACATTTCTGAGACGTTTTCAGTTAATGTCCACCTTTTCCAGAACAGCATATTGAGCAACATTCGACGCAGCCCAAACATGACAGAGCAATGCATAGCTGTGCTATTAGAATTGCACACTGATCGTTCATCTTCGAACAACAATCTATGCAGTACATGCAACAGAAATTTTTACCTAATTTGCCGCAACAATTTGAAGCTGCCTTCCTACATTTTTCAGCAGCTCTCGGTAATTTTGGTTCTTCATGGCATAGATGGATGTTTTCAGCGGTTCCTTCCAAGTTGCCAAAGCCAATAGAAAGGCTTGGTAGCAATAACATTTTTGGAACTTTCGGAACCATTTTCTTTGGATCAGCTTTCTTCCACACCTGATAGCATTGATTGTGAAGAAGCCATACTATCAATAATTCAAGTGAAAAGGGCTGTACAATATGAAGAAAAAATCATTGCAAGAAATGATGTCAATGCACACCTTCTGTCCTCCAGGTGATTCTGTTGCTTTTATTATTTTATAATTCTCGATTAAGATCATACGGGTATACTCAGACACATTATGAGTTTGCATGCTCAACTTTGCAACCTAACAGTGAACAGAGAGCACCAGAAACAGAGTTACTACAAAATAAGGTGCAGGCAGAATGAGTTACTTTCAGAGTCACCCAGCATAGGAAGATGCTGAGCAATTCTTCTTAGGAAGATCTATCAGGATTTTTTTTAAACCAGGAAGATTCATGGCATTTTCCATACTTGGTTTTCTTACAGATCTCAAGCATTTATAAACAAACCAGTTGTTTTCTCCAACCATGTTCTTTCCAAAATATTGCATGACAAACCTTCTGCTTAAGCTGTCTATTTTCTGAATGCCATGCCTGTGCTGTGAGCAGATCAATCTGCTGTCTTGCTAACACCTGTTAATCGAAAGGGAAATCATGAATACAGAAGGTGTATGGTCATGAGTAAATTTGGTCGAAATGAAGTGATGGCCAAAAGGAATAGAAACAATCTTGTCAAGTGAAATAAAATCCTAAGAGACAAATACAGGGTTATATCATATCATCATACAAGGACAGGAACATTAGAAAGGAACTGAGGTTTTCACAAATATTCGTTGAACAATAATGAAGGATGTTCATTATTAACAATAGTATTACAATCATGATCACACAACCTACCCTGTCAAGAGGGATGTCCTTGAGCCATTCTATCTTCAAGTCTGCAGCAAAACTACTCAAATCTCCCAAGACACCTCTAGCTTTAAGAGTGTTCGGAAAATTTCCACGATACGTTCCACATATTGTCAATGCACTTTCAGATGAAAGGTCTGGAATACGTGAAGGATACACCTAGCATAAGATTTGCATAAGAAGCTGAATGTCAGGGACATTTAAAGGAGGGAAGATATGAAGAAACTAGAATGTCTTGCAAAGAGAAAAAAAAACAAAAGCAAAAAAAAGACAAGCATACCTCTAGTTCATTAAGATCATCCAATGTCTCAACAGTTATATTAGCGAGAACAGTGGATAAACCCCTGCTAAAAAATTTTTGCATTTGGACCTCGATAGAATCTGGTCATTAGTGAATTCAGAGATAAGAATTAGCTTTCGCATGTCATTTAAGAAAAATTTTACTAAATCAAAAGATGATGTGGAGGAATTGGAGTGACCTAAATCAAAAGCAGCGTCATATTGCCCCCGGCCAATCATGGCAAGCATGCGGAGGAAATAATGATTGCACAATGAACCTACAACATTTCCACAGAAGAAGTTAAATAGAAGATAGAATATAAAGAATTAACTAAATTTGATTTCATAAGGAAAACACAAGCAACCTTCAAGAAGCTTTAAACTAACTAATAAGTGCATAATTTCAAAAATAAAAAGGTCTATGCTAATAGCCCAAAGATTGGAGGTCCAAACACCAGAAGCCATTACCTATGCCAAAAGTATATATCCGTGGGCATAATGATTCTCCAATTGCCAGATGCCTCTTCATTACATCATAAATGTGTTTCTCATCTTCAACAGCCCCATTAATAACAAGAAAAATTATAGGGATTGTACCAGAAGAATTCATTAGCATCTCAGTTGCCTGAAACAAATAAGCAAAAGTTAATAAGTGCAATGATCCCCAACATGACAGGATTTGGATAGAGAAGAATGTCACAATACCCTCAAGAAGGTAAAAATATGCAATAGATCATTGAAGTCAGCAATCTCAGACACTGAATTCGAAAGAACAGGTTGAAAATGGAATAATGTCATTAACCTGATCCTCATTAACTTTCTAGATGCTTTAGAAGGGTGAACAAATAAAGAAACATGGGAATTTCCAGGTAAGGAGTACAAGCAAAAATCAAGTAGGGACTGAATACAGACCTTGAATAGTGGAGTTAACATGTTGGTACCACACCCTGCAATGAAGTGTACGCCGATCCACTCAACAGCTCTTTCAATTGTTTCCTTAGAAGCCAACTCCATTGATGTTGATAACATATAAATTTTCTCACTAAAAGCTATAATATTAAATGAATCCTCAGGATTGAGCTTAGACAGGGCTCCAGATAAAGCATTCTTAGTATCCTCAAGGGGCTTTCCAAGCATGCTTTTGCTTATATCAACAACAAATATGACTTCCTTGCGGAACACCTATCAAATTCAATAAGATGAGGAGAGATTCACAAAGAGAAGAAGGGAAGGAAGACTTGGCATATTGAATAAGTGCCAGACTAACATTCACCCTTTGCTGACTTCCTGAATAAAGATAGATACAGAAGGTTTCTCTTTGATCCACATCATGCAGTGATGGAGATTGCAAGAGGACATGGCCAACTATAGGACCGGAAGAGACCTGTAAGGGCATTTAGACATATACAATTACAAGAATCACGATAATAGAGAAATGAATGACAGAAGAAGCCTGTTGTGAATGTAAATTGGTAGTAGGAGCAGTGGCGGAGCCAGCTCGCCCCCCTGAAATTTGAAAATCTTGCAAATTGGTATATAAAAAATTATCTAACCTCCCTTGAACTTTGAAAATTTTAGTATTTTGCCCCCCGAAAAAAATTTCTGCCTCCCCCCCTGAGTAGGAGCCTGTTGTGAATATAAACTGGTCGTAAATATGAGCCTGATTCTTACAGTATATGAGAAACTGAAGTCAATTTTTGACCAAGTAAGAACATCTGCTTCATAAAAGAAGCCCAACTTGCCCGCTTGGCGTCTTATTTGCTGTAAACAAATAAGAAAAGATTAGTGAACAGGAAAAGGGATCATTTATTGATAATCCACACCCCCAAACTTAAAAAAAAAAAAAAGAAAGCAACTTAAATCAAAATTGCACCTTCAGAGGATGACTACTTGCGTTGCTCAAGATTTCAGTTCCAGTCCCAGAGTTGATGTTCAATTGTATCTTTTCTTTCTTAGCAATTTTCTTTATAACAGGTGTGACATAATCAGGGAAAGTGAAAGGTATGAACAAGGTTAACTGGCCATTATGAAATGACAATTTCTGAGACCAACGGAGCGTAATTGAAATATTGGAACCCCCATCAATCTGGAAATAAATAAGAAAGACATTCATCAGCTAAAAATGGATTAAACTACATTACAGAAAAGAACCAGAGTCCCAGATTCTTTTAACAAGCTCACCTGAGGTATTGTTAAAGTAAATATTTGAGGCTTCAAAAAGCCTGCATCTTGGGGTCCTGCTGTCTTTTCAATATCCTTATTGTCATCCAATGCAATTAGCTCAGTGGAATATGATTTTCTAGGGTAATCAACATCGACACCTAGAATTGAACCCTGTTAGCCAAATGATATATTTTTTGAGAACATTCATAAGCAAAAGTCTATCTCCACTCTCCACAATCACAATTGAATACTAAATTATTAGAACTGAACCCTCTTAGCACAATTCCAGTTATAGTTTCTTAAAACAATCAAAATGATCAACAATCTCATATATATATCTATATCTATATATATATATATATATTTATATTTTTCTTTCATAGGACAGGGCAAAAGGGTTCTAAAAAGTGGTGGGGAAGGGATTGCACATGTTCAAATCCTCGTCAACAAGTGAGGAAGCGTTTTAAATTTAAAGATTTGATCAGTGAAGGTCTTCCTCAACCATCTCATGATACTACTAAGGGTTGTTTGAATAAAAATTAGTAAAGGGAAGAGAAGGGAGGGAAGGGAAAGAGAAGAAACAAGTTTGATAAATAGATTGGAAAAGAAAATATTTTTATTTAATTAAATAATTTAAAGTAAAATAAAATAAAATAAAATACTTAAAATGTACTAATTAAAACAGTAATTAAAATAAAAAATATATTTTTTTAAAAAAAATTAAAAAATATTAAATACGTAAATCAAATCTTTTACAGTTATTTCAATTTGAAAAACTAAAAAGTAGAGGAGTGGATAGGTTTTATTACGCCTCTATCTCTCTCATTTTCTGTTAATATAAAAAAACAAATAGAATAAAGAAGACATCTATCTCTCACTCTCCTCTCCTCCCGTCCCCTTTCAAATTCGTCAATCCAAATAGAGGTTAAAAACAATCATAAACAATTAAATAACATCCAATATCTAGAAACTCAAAAGAAACAGATACAAAATTCACCTTTTTGGGAGAGGGGGTCACTGAAACTAACCTGGTCTCCCATGGGGACAGCAACACGGCAATCACAGGACTTGCTACCCATTACGCAATGGACCCTCCAGGACCCAGAAACGCGAACAAAAGCAGTATCCAGGTGACAATCCACATCAAGCTCAATGCTATTCATTTTTAGAGGAATCAGCGCAGGAGGATTGTACCTACCGTGCACGTAAGGCTGGTAACTTGGCATGTCCGGGTTGTCCACTATCCCTGGATTGTCTATCACGGCATAGATTATCGGCGCAGTTGGCAAATACGACTGCACCGACCTCTCCATCCTTGGAGGCGTCTTGGGTGGCACCACTGCATGGTCTTTACCCAAGTATACTCTCTTGGCTAGCAAGAGTCCGTCCTCCACGGCTCTTGCAAAATCCTCCGCCATAACCGAAGCTGATAAGCTAAAATGGGTTTTTCAGAAAGATTTAAACGAGAAAGGAAGAGAAATAATATGAAGAGGGGATCACTTGGGAGTTGGAATTTTCTGCAAATGGCGGAGTTGTCCATCTTGACGTTATTGTTTATTCTCTTGTTTGTGTTCCTTTCTTCATGACATGGTTAAGGTCACTCACACACGAAGGTGATAACTCACGCACGAAGGTGATATCCACCGTCAAATTATTGTTTTTGACAATTTCATCCTTCCAACTAATAGTTGATTTGGTTTAAGAAAATTTATAATTGAGAGGATAATATGTTATTTTGAATAATTAAATTATGTTATTAAATTATCAACGAACCTAAATAATTTAGTCGTATTTTTTTAAAATAATAAAGGATCTTAAATTCTAATAACATAATATGCAGGCAGTGTAAAATAAAATATAAAACAAAGTTACCTCTTATTGTATAACCAATATAAACAAAAAAAAAATGTTATTAAATTAATAAAATAATTTAATTAATTTTAATAATTTTAATTTGTATTCTCTTACTTAAGTTACAAGTTATGAAAAGTTTTTTTTTAGTAGAGAATTTCGTAAGTAGAGCCAAATCATCCATTTCTATTGATCTTATCATTCTCCACCATGTTTGGCTAGGTGCCAAGTGCCTATGGGTTCAAAAAAGACTAGAAACCTGAGGCCTGTTTGGTTTGAGGTTTTTTGTTTTTTTTTTTTTCTTTGGACTACAATTTTTGAAAATGAAAGTGGGGAATGGAGTCAAAAGCTCTTGAATTTTAATTAAATGGATAATAAGTAATATCATTTTCACCTATCTCAAAGTTTAAGTTCAATTTGAGGAAGTTTTTCAATAAAGTTATTTAAGAAATTTTAATATGACTCATATAAGATATTAGTTGTATTAAAATTATTAATTTTATGGGTTTATAATTAGAGCTTTGAACCTGTTTAATTTGTGAAAGGGGTTTTTTTTCTTTCTTTCTTTTAGGGAAATTTCTTCAATAAAATTATTTGAAAAGTTTTAATATGACTCAAATAAGGAAGTTTTGTTAAAATTATAAATTTTTTCAAATTTGGTTAGAAGATTGATGTTATACCTTTTTTAGGAAAGCTTGTTTAATTTGTGAAAACTAATGAGAAGGTTAAGGAAAAGTTTTTCCCTCCATGACATGGGAAGGATAGCGTTGTGACGGAAAGCAAAATTAGGATACGAACGTCAGCTTATTCCTTTATTTATATTATAGTATTGAATTTAATAAATATATCAAAATATACATACATTGAGAAACTTTTTCCCAAATACAGCCTTCAAAGTCCTATACTTTCTAAAGAAAAAGTAATTATCATCTTATGTTATTTAATAGTTTATAATCATAATATATTATTAAAAAAAATAAATATATATACTATTATGAACAAAATTTTAAATAAAAAAAATTTATCATATAATAACAAGTTATTATTATAAGTTTATGTTTAAACAACTTTATGAACTCCTATTATTGAGATCACCAACTATTTTAATACCTTAAAAACTGAAAAAGGTTTCCTTAGAAATACACTATGACACCTAAATCAATAATATTCTATAATTTAAAAAGAGAAACTCTCAAGAGAAATAATCACAAAGAGAAAAGTTCTAATAGAGTTATTATCTTATGTGAAGTAAGTTAGGGGTATTTATGGGCCCAATTCATGATAGTCTTGCCACATATTATTGCTCTATTGGTAAATCTGTCTTTAGTCATATGGGTATGCCATGATTATGGTGTTTACACTTTTGGGTCTTACATGTCTTTTAGGTTTCATTATTGATGTTGGGCTAGTCCTCCAACAATATAATAATATTTTATGATATCATAATTACCTAATTTTTTATTTCAAAATAAAAGTTTATAAACACTAAAGAAGTAAATATATTTTAATTCAAAATTCCTGCCAAGTGAAAATGACCAAACTTAATTATTATCATGCAAAATTGGGCGGTCATACACGATAAAATTATGAATAAATTATTTTTTCATAACAAAAATCTATGAAAATCACTTAAACGGGGATAAAATCGTCCAAGAAGTCCATATAATTTCGGTTAAACCCCTGTTTTGTTTCTGAACTATTGTACGGACTCTTGGTTCCTAAACTATTGTACGAACTCCCAAGTTAATCCCTAAACTATTATACGGATGTCTAATTTGGTCCATACTGTTTACCAATTTAACCCCAACTTGGTTCTTCTGTTAAATAATAGCTCATGGACCAAATTGGAGCAAAATTATAAACAATAATAATCAAATTGAAAGTCCGTACAATAATTCAAGGACCAACTTAGGCCAAATTATAAACAGTTGGACCAAATCGGGGTTCGTACAATAGTTTAAGAATCAAATCAGAAATTTCTTTAGTTCAAAGATCAAATTGAATATCCGTACAATAGTTCAGAAACCAAAATAAAAATTTAACCTATAATTTCTCGAACGGCCTTACCTACCAATATGCAAAGTCGAAAGAGCAGAGGTAAGTTAAG